AGCTCAGCAATGCCCTCCACCCCTTCTAACATGTACGATCAGCAATTATCAGAGACTTTCGAAATTATTTCATGGAAATTTAAATGATAATTAAATCATACTTTCATGATATATAATTTTCGATTATTATTATAACTAAATAAAGTAAATATAAAACTAGTATTACGTCGAATATATAATTAATAATAATATGATTGGATTTAATAATTAAAATTTATAAAAAAAGTAAAACAAATAATTAGGCGAGGAGAAGCTTGTAAAATTACTTGTCCATAATCAAAGAATTTTTATTAATAGTTTTAGATCATTTTTCTTTTTTCAACTAATTTTGTTTTTTCGATTATTTATAAACGCTAAATGTTGCTCTTAAACTGTACACGAAAATGTTAATATAATTAACAATCCTATTTCATTTATTTTCTTTTCCTCTTTTTTATAATAAAACTGGCGAACACGTTATAATTAATTCTGATAATTTTTCTAGACGCATGAATATGTGTCATAGGGAAATACGATAAGTTATCATATCTTATTTAAGTATATAAGAAAATAATGAACCACAAATTACTCACCAGAGTAACTTTCATCTTTGTTTCCCCCGTAGATCGATCCTAATATATCGCACTTTGAAATCTGAAAGAAATTACTTTGAAAAAAATAGTATATATTCATATAATAATACGCCCAAGGCGACAAACTTTGACGATTTTTTTTATTTACCCGCCTTTTTTCAAATTTAATTAAACAATCTTTCATCTTTTCACGCGTCAAAGATCGAATCTCGTTGACTAATAATTATTATATATATATTTATATCCTTTCGTAAAATAATTTTGCTAAAAGTTCGAACAATGCAATAAATAAGCAAATAATTCTACAATTAATTTAGCTAATTGTAAAAATGTTCGATATATCAAATTTTACACGCGCCAATTTTTTGTTTCAAATGTAAAATACAATTCGATTATTTGCATCAATAATAATAGTAATAATAATAATAATAATAATAATAATAATCATTTGAAAGAGCAATTACATTCAAGTTATTTGATGTGTTTTTTAAAGAGATATATAACTTATCTACATTTATACATATCTATGTACAATAAACGCACATACATTAACTTGTGCATAATTTTAAATATACTTATTTAAAAAAAAATGATAATCCGAGACGAGCATATAATATTTCGCAAAAAGCTTTTATTTACAACATTTGTTCCTTTCTTTCTTTTTTTCTTTCTTTCTTTCTTTCTTTCTTTCGTTCTCTCTCACACACACACACACACACACACACTCTCTCTCTCTCGTGCACTATTTTTAATCTAAAATAGCAATAAAATTCCACTAAATTCACTTCTTTTTCTTTCTTTCTTTCTTTCTCTTCCTTTTTATCATCTTCGTGGAATGTGTTTGTTAACATAATAAATACAAATTTCTGTTTAAATATAAATTAAAAAAAAAATTAAATTGAAATTTACAATTCAGATTGGAGATAATGTCGAAAAATTGTTAATTGCGCACAATCCTATCCGATAGATTTCTTTTTTTTTTTTAACACCACCATATACTTTTCTTCTTCTTCTTCTTCTTCTTCTTCTTCTTCAGCATCATCATTTTCATTTTCTTTTCTTTGTAAAAATCTACCGTCTGACAAATATATTTTTATCGTCATTATCATCAATTATAAGAGCCCGTTTATAATATGTACTGTCGTATTTACAATGTCGATATAAACATACAGACTGCACAATTGCTTAAAAGCCTATATATATATATATATTAAATATATGAAAAAGAAAAAGTAGAAACTCCTACTTTGTACCATTAGGTTCTGAGAAGAAAATTGAACCCCAACGAAAAGAATAACCAAAAAAATGGAAAAAAAAAAACCTATATCGGATAATAATAATTATTAACTCGTAGGTAAATTCAAATTAACATTTTTTTTTTTGTTCTCTCGTTCACGTCTTCTGCAATTTTCTTTTATAATATCGCTTAAAAATTAAATTCAATGATATCTCTATACACATATTATTATTATTATTATTATTATTATTATTATTATTATTATTATTATAATATCGATAGGGGTCTAACTTAACGAATAAAAATCCTTAATAAGCACATAAATTAAAAAATATATGTTCAAAAATTTTGTTTATAACTTAGATTAAACACCACCCTCCACTATAACAGCCCACATTTAAAAACGTATTACAATAGTTAAAACCGCAATGCACGCATTTGTAAATTATTTCTACAATAACGTAGGTAGTAATGTGTAAAAGGGGGTGCATTGAACCCTTTTCTTTTTTTTTTTTTTTTCTTTTTCTTGCATTTAAACACGCGAACCTTATTTCAACTGTGTGAAGAGAGAAAACATTAACGCGAACGCAAAACCCTTGTAATTTTCTGTAATAAAACAAATACCATAAGTGCATGGTTTCTCGCACGATCAACGATTTTTTTCTGACGAATATATTTTCTGTTTTTTCTTTCTCTTCTTTTTTATTTATTTATTTTTTTTTTTTTTTCTTTTTTTTCCTTTGTTAAATATACCTAAGAATATAATATGTACGATATTTTATAAATAACTTTTGTCATGCGCGTAAAAGGAACATCGATATCAACAAAATTGATCTCATTCAAAATTTATAATTTATATATATATATATATATTTTTTTTAAATAAAAACTAATCAATTATTTGTTATCCCTGGGCTTACAGAGGGTTGGACGATGAATAAAATGTACATTCGTATTGATCGATTATTGATCACTCGATCACTAAATTATTATTGACTGTACAAACGGTATATATATATATATATATATTATTTTTTATTCTTGTTGTTCGTTTAGTTCGACAATAATTAATTGTCAATTTGAGAATCGTGTCTCCTATTTAGAATATACCGTTTTTTTTATGTTGCTTTTTTTTTTCTTTTTTCTTTTCGAGATAATCGTAATATTTCGGAATAATAATAATATATGTTCGAGAGGAATTATAATCGTTTTTTGACATTTTCATTTTCATTTTTATATATATATATATATATATGTATGTATGTATGTATATGCGTGTTTATTTTATGTTACTGTTAAAAAATATATCTCCCATTGGAACATCGGTGAAACGGACGTCGTTGTGAACACATGCGAGAATTTAAAAGACAACAAAATAAAGAAAACAAGAACACGAACCCACCAGAAGAGAACAGGTGTGTGATTTGAGCACGTATTGTTAAAGCGCCATATTGGAAAATAACGCAAAAATGTTTTTCTTTTTTTTTTTTCTCTCTCTCATCTCGACCACTTATTATTATTATTATTTTATTATTAATATTATTATTATTATTATTATTACTATTATTATTTTAAATCTAGGATACCATAAAAGCATAATTATTTATCCTTAAAAAAATCAATACCTTTATAAAGAAAGAATAGATCAA